GAGAGGGAGAAGCGCATTTGGGGGGGCGCGAAGAGAGAGCGTGTGCCTGTGCCTGTGCGGTCGGGACGGTATTCGCCTTCGGAGAGGATGCGGCGGATGAGGTTCAGGTATTGGTGTTCTTCGTGGGTTGGGTCGTGGGGGATGGTGGGGGTGGCATCCTGGGGAGGAGTGGGGAGGGATTCGGCGGAGGGGGCCATGGTGTGTGCTGTTTTGGTGTATGGGGGTGGTCGTGGTCTCTTTCTCTATGAGGGTGGATTGAATGTCTTTTGAGGTTGAGAGGTCGAGAGGTTTAGAGGATGAGTAAAGTGATCGGAGAGCAAATTGACGCGCGCGCGCGACGCGCCACGTGGTCATGTGATGCGGAGTACTTTACCGCGGTATTACGGATTTACTATAAGGGAATACAGACTTGCAGGATACAGTAGGTATTCAGTGGTCTCTACTATATGCATAGGATTATAGGCTCTATGCTCTCAGCTCAAGCCATCAGGTCCACTCCCACTCCCCGCAACGCCGTCACCACCCACTCCGGATAATCCTTCCCATACAACGTCCCAAAAAACTCGCGCAGGAACGCCGGGAACCGGTCCTCCAGGATCGCCTGCCGCGCCGATCCCATCAGCGACAGCAGATAGTGCACGTTGTGCATCGTAAGCCTGGATCGTTAGTTTTGTCTCGTTGTGGAGAGGGAGAGAGAGTGTGTGTGTGTGCTTACAGATGCGCTCCCACCGTCTCCTTCGCCGTCAGATGGTACAAGTATGCCCGCGTGATGCCCAGTCCGCCTTGCTCCTTTGGCCGACAGATGGTGCAGGTGCAGCCCTCCTGCACCGGCCGGAAGTCCTCCGCGTAGGATCGATGCCGTAGATTCAGCGTGCCCGTGGGCACCACAGCGTTGCCGAAGCGCTACATCTATTAGTCAAGCCCAGCAAAGGATAGAGACACTTACAGCCGTTCTGGTCGGCCAGACGCAGTCAAACATGTCCGCGCCAAGAGCAACACCCACAATCAAGTCCTCCGGATAGCCCTAATCGGTCAGCCTGGTTCACCATGACCATGAGGATGACCTACCACGCCCATCACATATCGTGGCTTGTGCTCCGGAAGCAGTCCCGTGCAAGTGTCCACCCTGTCCATGTTAGCCAGACCCCTGACACTGCTGAGATACATACACTCGGCAAAAGTCCTCCTTTGCCTCTCCGCCAGACAACCCGCCAATCGCAATGCCCGGCGTATCTCGGGCCACCATCTCCGCGCAGCATTGCTTCCGCAGCTCCAAGTCCAATCCGCCCTGAATGATGCAGAACAGATTCTGGCGCTCTGGGTATTTATGTGCGTCGATACAACGATCCAGCCAGCGGACAGAGCGCTCCATGGCCTCGTGGATCCGCGCATGGTCTGGCGAGGTGGTCGCAATCACATCGTCCAGTTGCATGATGATATCCGAGCCAATGGAGTTTTGTAATGAGATCGAGTGTTCCGGAGTGAGCAACCTAGACAGTCAGCTCAGCCTTAGCCAGCGGGAGAGGGAACAAACATCGGCGTGCCGTCGTGAGGGCTGAGAAATCGGACTCCCTCCTCCGTGACAGTGGCCAGTTTCAGCAGGGAGACCATCTGGAATCTGCACCCTGTTAGCCAGGTCACACTGAACCAGGACCATCGGGCTGCATTACCCTCCACTATCCGTGAGAATATTTCGATCCCATCCTTGCAACTTATGCGCTCCGCCCACTGCGTCTAAAACCGCCTGTCCAGGCTTCAGGCCGAGGTGATACGTATTGTTCAGACAGAGCTGGCATCCGGTCTGCCGTAGCTGGTCGTATGTCAAGCCCTTCAGGGACGCCTGCGTCGCAACCGGCATGAAGATGGGGAGGGGGACATCACCATGGGGGAGGTGGAGGGTGCTGGCACGTGCTTTGGTGGTCTAGGTATAGATAGCATGTCAGCTTGGAACGGACCAGAGAATCCAAACAGCCTACTGAGCACTTTGCACGCAAGTCAAACGTCAATGCCGACGGCATTGGTTTGCGCGTGGGCGCGGCGGGGGTCGCGGTCGACATGGCTGCGATTCGAGCCCCGCTCGGAGCTGAAGAGGGGGGGCGGGCGAGGCGGCCTGGAGCTACCGGCGTGGAATGAGTCGAGGATAAACCAAGGCCAGATCGGAAGCTTCTCGACCAGAAATGCGGGGTGACTCGGGCATACATGGATCACGATGGCTCCAATGCCTGGCTCGACTCTCTTCATGCCTGGATAATATCAGCGGGGTTTGCATGGTTTGCACCATTTGCACCGGTCGGTATGATACCATACCATACCCGATACCAGCCAAACGGCCTTCCCCGCATTTTGTTCCCCGTCCATGCGGAGGACCAGATGGATCGGTCATCGGAGATGTCCTGGAGATGATCGCTCGCTACCCAGGGAAAGCCATTGTCTTGTCCATGGGTTCATTTGCCAATTCGACGCAACCAGGCACAACCGGCATGACCAGCCTCTGAACCCAATTCCCAAAGCAACAAGATGCATGGTATTGTAATCCCGCCCGACTAGTCGCGCAATCAGCAGCAACATAACCTTTCGCTCAACTGAGCCAATTTTGCCGATCAGCCACTAGTATTCGAGCCATGCAGATTAGCATCCAGCATGGCGGTCTGCCCAGGTTTGGGCTAGCTGAACTGGTGCGCGCCAGGCTGTCCTCGCTCAATCTGTCTCTTCCTGTCGGACACATGGCCGAGTCACGGCAGTTTACGCGGAGATTTAATTGTTAAGCATATATAATCATTCAGCAACGGGCGCTGCTACTGGGACGAAGCAGATCGTGCGATACAGTATTCTCATCTTTCGAGTCACACTACAATGAGTGGGGAAAAGTATTTGGGCAGCGCTGAGAGCGATGATCTCGAAGCTGTCCCACAGGTGAGCATTCCTAGTTCCCTGCCATTGTTGCCTTGCAATGACCATTCCAGGTAACCCATGAGAGCGACCCTGGCGGAGACCTCAGCGCTCGCGAGAAGGCTTTGGTCTGGAAGCAGGATTTGCACATTGTGCCCCTCTGTGCGGGCATCTATCTTCTCTGCTACCTAGATCGATCCAACATAGGTGCGTAGCCCTGATATGATGTATGCCATGCTGACAGACCAGGCAATGCCAAAATCCTCAATCAGGACACCGGAAATGATCTCCTTTCGGAGACGCATATGACTTCGTACCAGTACACGTGGGTCCTCTGTCAGTAGATTGCTGCGACTGTGCTAACCATGCAGTGTCGCACTAATGGTGTTCCTGATCGCCTATGCGCTTTTCGAAGTGCCTTCCAACTATCTGCTCAAGAAGCTGAAGCCCAGTGTAAGTCACCTCCCATCTTGATAGCAGCAGTTCTAACACAATGCAGAGATGGATCGGTTTCCTCATGCTTGCCTGGGGCGCATCCACAATGGGTTTGGGTGGCTCACACAACGTTGCCCAGGTCACTGGCATTCGGTTCCTACTCGGAGGTAATCATGTGTTGGTACCACTTTGCAAACTCAACTAACTATTCCAGCCACCGAGGCGGGTCTTTTCCCCGGACTCGTCTATTATCTGACCTTCTGGTATCGCAATTCAGAGCGCTCCATGCGGGTCGCCCTCATCCTGGCGTCAGCCACCCTTGCCGGTGCGTTTGGCGGCGCCATTGCCTATGGCATCGGGCATATGAACGACGTCCGTGGCCTATCAGCATGGCGATGGCTGTTCATCATCGAAGGCGCTCCGTCCTGCGCCTCGGCCTTTCTCGTCTGGTTCTTCCTTCCCGACTACCCCGAGTCTGCCTCGTGGCTGAGCCACGAAGAGAAAGCGCTTGCTGCCCAGCGTCTGCAGGCAGAAGGCTCCCAGGGCGCCGCAAAGGCCATGAGCTGGGCAGACGCGAAGGAGGTTCTGACTGATTGGAGGTTATATGCGCATTATATAGTTGGTTGCTCGTAAAACACATGACCGAGAGGTAGCTGACACTTGGAAAAAGGTTTACTTCGGCATCTCGGCTCCATTCTCCAGTCTTTCCCTATTCACACCTGCGATTGTCAGCGGTCTGGGGTATTCGAACCTGCGGGCGCAGCTCATGACGGTGCCGCCATGGGCTGCCGCCTATGTGGTCACCACAGCGGTTGCTTGGTCCGCTGACCACTTCAACAGGTATGTAGCAGGTCTCCATTCAACAAAAGACTGCCATACGAACTGAATGCAGCCGTGGTCTTCATTCCGCCGCCTTTGCCTTTATCGGAGCCATGGGCTTTCTCGCATCAGCCGTTCTCCCCGCCGATGCATATCTGGTATGTAAGTCGTCCGCCAATATCCAGCCCGCCACTAATCGTATTTGTGGGCTAGCACCGGTACGGCTGTCTGGTGGTCGCAGCGAGCGGTTCCTTCGCTTGCATTCCACCCTTGCTAGGATGGCTGTCAGCGAACATCCGCTCCACCGCCGGTACCGGGCTGGCCATTGCATTAAACGTGTCCTTCGGTGCGCCCGGGCAGATTGTCGGCGTATGGATATATAAATCCGACGAGGAGAAAAGAGGGTATCCGACCGGGCATTGGACGAATGCGGCGTTGCTGCTGATGGTCACTGCGGGATGCATTCTGCTGCGGCTGTATTATGGATGGCGGAATGGGAAGACGAAGGCAGGGGAGAGGTTCGCTTATTGAGTCAGTGTATAAGTCGGGTTGGCCTGCAGCGTGCAGACAAGGTGACGTGCACTCTCCCACACCGGACCGTGTCGCACCCACCACCATAATCGTCATGCTCCTCGCCCTCTATCCATTCCCCGAAATCTGATCCCCGTAGGCCAAGCGACTCCACTGGGCATTCTTCAGGCCGAGTAATGATGATGTATGGGTAAGGGCGGGAGGATCGTGAAACCGAGTCATGCTAGGGTGGGAAAAAAAATAGTGGTCAGCCAAGAAGGACCTCGAAAGGGATAGCTGGGCGGGTCTTGAAGGAGACGGAATTCTCGAGCTTACCGATTTGAGACGAAGGGAGGGTGAATTTGAAGGGGCCCTGGCATAGTGTTGGAGACTAGAACGGGCAGTAAATGAATGATTGGCATGGAACCATGGAACCGGACAGACGGCGGCGGGCGCACGTGAGGGCGGGCGAAATAAGGTTAAGCTCAGGGCATGACGGAAAGGTGAAGAAGGGATGCCATGCCCATCGCAGCAGCACTGAGCAGTGACCACTACCCACTAACCACTAACCTCTACCCACTAACCACCACGCCCATCAGCTCGAATCCCAGGGGTTTGGGTGCTGTGGATTCCGCCCCCTCTGCCAAACTCCCCGACTGGCGGTGGGACCTTTCTCACGCCCTTCACCCTTTACTTAGCGCTGGCTGGGCATGGAGTTATGAACAGGTCGGCAGCCAGTAAGCTAAGGACCCAAAGAGCCAAAAATAATCCACAAAGTAAAAGAATTCGGATGAATTGAATTTCCAAAGCAAAATAAAAGTCCACTGCACATGAATCATATCTACATCCTGGTGTAGTGTTACTGTCTCAAAAAGTTCCACGGTCTCATCAGGACCCTCAGAAGTAAATTCCCAAAAATTCTCTCCATTCCGGCCCGAAACGCGGTGGGTGGAAATTTTTTTGTTGGTTTTTTTTTTTTTTCAGAACTCCTCTGGCCACGGCAAACCGCCTCTGCTCCGCACCCACCATCGCCTGTCCAACCTGTCCGAGCGAGGGGTGCCGTTCCCCGTTGGTCTCGGCCAGATGGCTCAGCAGGCACGAAACCGGTCCCAGATGAGTCGCTGCAGTGATGAAGGGCAAAGAAGGAAAGAAACCCAAAAGCTAGATCGAGGAAACGTCAAAATCACACATCAAGAGTATCTGTTCTGTCGTCCTAGGTTATGTGGTCAGAGTCCGGCTGTCGGTTAGAGGGAACAGACACAGGTACACCGCGGGGCTGTCGAATGCGCCCGCTGCCTGAGAACTGAACCAAGCCAGCACAGTCCGACAATCCGAGCAGGATCCGGCAGGAAGACTGCAGAATAGGCCTGGGCCAGGGTTCATCCGTCGAACGGCAGCGCCCCTGCCCGCACGAGAGAATCCCAACCCTGTCCACAAATGCGTCCGTGTCGCTGCCATACCATTCTGCGTCGGGGAAAAGAAGAGTCAAAGTAACAGAGCGAAACGAAAACTGTCGACATCCGAAATGTTGTACATAGCTGCGAGACCCGAGGAGTAGGCATCAATCCGGATGGCGTCGTACATAACGTGCAGGCAGAGTATAAACCGGGAAAGACGAAAAGCGAGAGAAAAGGAGATAAGGAAATATGGGCCAATCTCCCAGCAAGCATCCAGACAAGTGCTAGAAATACAACCTCTCCACCCCCATCACCCACGCAAGGGAGGCAGTGCCTTCACGGCCACCTCGGCCGCATCCTCTTTGGCATTGTTGGTACCATCGTAGAAATACCGCGCCGAAAACGTGCAGAGGTACATAGTGTTGGGGTTATGAACGGTGACCGAGGTGGACCAAGCCGTGCGACCTCCTGGAAAGCGACACACCCGTCAGTAACCAGTCCTATGCTCGAACTTGGGGAATTCAAAAGTCGGTGAAGACAAGAGGGCCGACTCCACCCTCTCAAACACACCGTGGGCAACGTTCCAGAGCCGGGGGCGGTCGTGGAGGATCACCACGAGGGGAAAGACAGTCGAGGGCCAGCATAAGAAAGGGCAGAACGCTTACCTCGACGATCGGAAACGAAATTGTAGACCGGGGCATTCACTTTGGCTTGGACGCAGTAATCTTCGAGGAATCAGGGTTAGTTGACAAGAGGAAGGGGCCGCCGCCACGACTAAGACAAGCGCAAGAGGGAGATTGCAGCAGAAGTGGGGCATACCTTCCAGTTTGTCCTGCCATTTCGTGCTCTCCTTTGCGGGCTGCGAATTAAAAGAAGTGGCCATGGCTGGAGGAGGATTAAGTCGGAGGGTTCTTGAGGAGTAGTAGAGCAATGGCTAGGACGGTGGACGGGTTCCTTTCACCAAGTAAAAAGGACGAACAGGAGGTCTGGGCAGGCGTCGATATCCCACAACTGATGGAGAACAAGCAACCCACACGGCAGTACTTGTCCCTGGGTAAATGGAAATATAGACAGGAATTTCAACCACCACGGCAATGGGCTGTCAAAGTCCTTGAGTAGTAGAGGAGAAGGATAAAAAATCAGAGGAATAATATTTTAGTCTTCTTCTGCTGGCCTCGCTTTGAATTTTCGAACTCGTCTGCCCTTTCAATCGAACAGCGTCGATAGTCCTGGGAAGCGGGGAGTCATATAAACTGTGGGCCATCCCTCAAAACCCCAAAATGTCACTGTGCAAGCAAGACCAGTTTGGCGTGACAAACACGGAACCTAATCATCAAACCTAACGGACGGGCTTATGCAGGCCGGTGTGGACATGGCACAGTGTCAGCAAATTTCCCCCCTCCCTCTTCTCCTCCACTCAAGGAACGCCAGTTGCATGGAGTACATGCGGATCATTTTGAGGCTGCAAGCTGGAACGGGCCGGCGCACGCCGATTGAGTGTGTGCCCTTGAAGAAACGCCAGAAGACAGGGAATAGGACCGCTAGTCTCCACACAGGCCAGATCTACTGACGGACAGGGGGATAGTCCAAGACAAAGAAAACGCTGTTGTACAAGGGAAAACTATGTCGGTTCGCACCCAGAGTTGGGGGGACAACTCAGAAACCGCCCGGCCTGCCGTCATCGTGGCTCGAGTTCTGCTCTCCTGTGCCGCGGACGATGTATACATCGGGTACGAACAAGCCACTCGCCTCATGGACGCTCTTCAGGGAAAGGAGCCGTCTCTTCTGGAAAGACAGGGGACCGCCGAGGGGGGACGCCTAGTTGCCCAAAAGCGGAGGAGGACCCATAGGCCGAATTGCGACGAATCGAAGCCAGAAGCAATTTTATGTCGACCAGTTGGGGCCACTCAGAGGATTGGGAGCGGGCCCAGAGACCACCGTGCCAGCTCATCAACGACTCGAATCAGAAAATCTGAACCTTGCCAATTTAAGCCCATCAAGACTCCTCAGCCCTAGAACGAAACGGTCACAGACCGGGCCGCTCTGCATGAGTACTTGTTATCGGGAAGGAAGCTGCAGATTCCAGGGTGGCCAGAGCTTGCTCGACGCCTTCGTTATTGCCCGGCCGGAAACCTTCAGCAGGGGTTCGAGCAGACCACGGCGATGGAAGGGCCAGCTTGTGCACTCCGAATCCCTCTGCGGGAGACACAAATTGCCAGCGAAGAGCGAGCTGGGTCTGCTTGACCCAGGCCATTTCCGGCAGGCGAGGTGCCATGATTCGTTGCTTTCCTCTGGCATTGTGTTGGGCATTCATACGTGCAGCATTCAATTCATCGTCCTCGCTTCCAACGTGCGGCTGCTTGCGAACTAGGAGGGGGATCATTGGCAGCAGCAGTGAAATCGTGGGAGCACGATGAAGAACCTGCATAAGCAAGCAAGATTGATAACCAGCGCCAAACAACGGGGAAGGCTGGAACGCTTCCACGAACCGCTTTTCGAGGCGGCAGCCAAACCGTTGATTCGACGCGCCGCAGCGTTTTGGCGACGAGCCTCGATCTGCCCCGCATCGGCCTCAGGCAAGCTTAACTGGGGGGAAGAAGCAGTCGGATGGATGGAGAGAGGGAGAAATGCTGTGAGGAGAAAATAAAAGAAAAAAAAAAAAAACCAAAAGTTCCGCAGAAGTTCCCCAAAAATGGCCCTTTCCAGAAAATAAACCAAAATCCAACAAAAAAAAAATATAATAATGAACCGACGCCAAACTAGAACCCCCTCCCTATCCTTCCCTTAACACCCCAGGTACCCCCTTCCTCCTCCATGTAATACACCAGAATGACCCAACGCCAGCTCAAAAAAAGGCCCTTCTCATTGCCTCCCTACATCCGTCGGAATTGCAGCATGGCCCTGGTCGGTTCCAAGCCTCGCCCGATCCTGCGTGCTGGTCCAGACCAGGGGTACAAGTCAGGCCGACAAAGGACGAACTATAATCGCGGGCCTGGTTCCCCGGCCGAGCCAGCAGGACAGCTAGCGAGCTGGTAGCGTTAGGTTCATGATACATGCATCGTTCCCCAAGTGACATGCGCAAGCGCCACCCCAACATCCATGTTGATCAGAATCCAAAATAGATGGCACCAGGTGGATGCCAGCCTAGCAAGGTGAGGCTGAAACAGGCAGCCATCCCAGATAACTAACTACAGACAGCACCCTCCCCTTCAACCGAACCGACCCTGCACGACCCTCCGGTTCCTGTTACACATCACCGCAAATCATGCCGGACTGAACTTCCGGCAACCGCCCAAATGTACCACCCCCCCCCCATGCTCAGAAAAATCAAAAAATCACCCATGTCCGAACCAACCAAAAATCAGAGCATCATCATATGCGGTCATGAACGTCGTTAGAGCCAAGTGGCCGGCTGGCCACCCCTGTCAATGGACCGCGGCGGTTGCAAACCGTTTCTTCCCCCTCACCACGATGGCATGACGTGTTGCCGCCGTGTCGCTTTTGCCCTTCCATTTATCCTCCATCCACAGCCTATCATTTTTCACGCGGATCCTCGTCGGTGGAACACTTCATCAAGAAAACGTCGGGGGCCCATGAACTCGATGCTTTTCGACAGGGTTGACCGCACCGGCTGGATGAACTGGGAATGTCTTTTCGAGTGCCATCGGCGTCGGATGCAATCATCAACTAGGGATGTCAAACCTGTGGCAACAATCACACTGTACACTAGTCAGCCTCAAACTCAAAAAGAAGACCATCGACCGGACTAAGGAGAGGGAACTTACTCGGCGACGTCGGGCATCGTCTCATACACGGAACAGTCGCTGATCCACATGGATGACGGTGGGATCCATCCTCCCTTTTTCTCCTCCTCAGCCGCTTCCATCGGGGTCAGTATCTCCGGCACAATATGAGCGATAGTCTTGGAGGTGCGCGTGTTGACTAGATGATAGGAGACTTCTCGCAAGTCCCCCTCCTTCCGACATTCGCGCCTCCATTGGTACCTGGTCGACCAATATTCAAACTCGTGTCGCTTGGAGAGCCCGGCGCCTCGACGCCTTAGCTCTACGTGGGCATAATTGGAGAACTCGAGCAACGTGCTATCGGTCAGCACGAATTGGCGATCGCCACCGCTTTTGTGGTCTAGATGCTTGTCCTCAAAAAATTCGTCATCATCCTCCACCGACCTATACCCTGAGTCCTGGCGCCTATGTTCGTGGCCCGGCAAAGACCCGTGGCCACTTGATCCTGGCCGCAAGCTAGCCAGAACACTACTCCATGACCGTCGAAAGACCGGATGCCGGTCGAGACTTGATGCCACCGGTCTTCTTTCTGAGTGGCACACCTCACGACCTGAGTCGCGACAGTAGCGTCGGAAGGAGAATTTCCTTGAGAACAAGTCGTACATGCGCAGATGGAACAAGGTTACGTCTTGCTGATAGCCCCCCCTCTGCGGCACCATCGTGTCGACACGGAGGTTCATGTTCCCGTCGAGGGTCGCATCATCGTGCCGAATCAGGAGCCGTCGGGAAGAAGGAAATAGCTGCCCAAAGGTCGAGGGGTTGGAAGGAATGACGTCGGTTGAGAAAATGTCCAGCTTACGGTCGGTGACCTCGTAGCGCGGGGGCTCGGGGGGATCATCGTCGGATGGGATGGTGGATGAGTAGGTTGACACTGAGGCTTTGGGGTCTTCTTCGTCGTAGAGGTCCATTCCGGCTCTCTGTATGGGGGTGGGTCGATCGCTGTAGATCGTAGGGGCCGTGCTTTTCGAGCGTTCCGAGACATCGCTGTTAGTGGAACAGGAGCTACCAGCGGTCCTCGAACCATGCTGATATGATGATGCAGTGTAAGACCCCATGACGGCGCTAGTGTGATAGGAGACCGTTGGATAGGGTGCGAAGCGACGAAAGCAAGCGATCGCGCAAGGATGGTGGCGTATACTTGGGTATCGTGGTGGCCGGTCAACACTCGAGAGATGCTTTCGATACCCGAGCCGATCCGGTAGTATGTATTGCTTAATCCTAATCAAGGCAAGCTTGGGGGGAATTGCATAGAAAGGAGGGACGAGGGCGATAGCGAGTCAAGCACACAGGATGAAGTAGGGATAATATGTATTCCAACCATAGCCTGATCTCGTGGTTCAAAAAACCGCTGGGTTCCGCGCAGGGGCCCTGGCAGCCCAAGATTCAGTAGTTCCAGACTTCCAGTAGATCTCGTAAGGAGGGCAAATACGACGAGCACCAGAGCGCTATAATGAGGCAAATTCCCGGAGCAGGATAATTTAGTCCGATGAAGGAGGGGGATTGCAGCGGGAGGCACAGGAGGGCTTGGAGGAACCACACGGAGGGGCGATAATAATAGGAGTCGTAACAGTGACAAAGGGCGGGCAATATTCCGAGGTCAGGCTGGACGCTGGAGCTAAGCCTTGGAACGATCCGTGGAGAGAATGTGGAAGGGGCCGCGGATCATAGCAGATGACGCCAGGCTTGAAGCACAGGGAGTGTTTCATCGACCGAGATGGCACACGGCGTCCTACGAGGGACGGTCGAAGGAAATGCGCGTGGCGCAGGATGTCCGTTGCAACCTGGAGGGCGAAAGGCCAAAGTCGGGAATGGAGGAGGGATGGATGAATGAATGGATGGATGGGAAAAGCCTGGGGAGGCAGCCACGTTGGCGACCACACGGACTGACTGACTTGGCCTTCCATCTCACCTGCCCGCATCCTCCTTCTTCTTCTTGTTGGTTGACCCGCTGGGGCTCGTCTTTGCTTTTCGTCTGGCAATCTAAAAAAAAAAAAAAATAATCATCTGAATAATTAAACAAGAAAAAGGAAAAGAAAAACAAAAGACGGGATTAAAGCTTATCAACATGAAAAAAGTTCCATTTTGCTTGCGACAGGCGACTAGTGAGTGACACTCTCCTACAAAGGCTAATTGTGCGGGTGATGCTGGCAATCTCCTCGTTGTCCTCGGAATAATCAGCAGTACAGCCTCGATCATCAAGCATCACCGATGCTCTCATGGTGGCAGCGACATCATCAGCCTGGCTTGGAAGATCCACCGCGGCTTTGCCCTGCCCATTGTGCCTTACTCCGACCGCGTTGACCATGGGGTTCTAGAATCCCACTGATATTCGTTTAGGCTGCCTACTTTGAATCACCCTTCCCTTCCGAAGGCATTCCTCGGCAGATCTGTCGTCCAGTGCGGTGCGTCGAGGATATTCTCCGAAACTCCATGGTGCGGACATTTCCCGGCAGCCGTCGTAGTCCAGGACAACCAAACCAAGCCTGTCTCCTGTATCTACAGTATCTCCGTGGTCGCAGAGAAAGGCCGGCGGAAGACACGATCCGGCGCGGATTGGACGTTGTCCCTGCAGGGAATCTGCGACTACTCAGTCGTTTCACATGCGGTGTTGGCTGGAAATTTGCGTTGACCGAACGCTGAATGGAGAATTGCCAACAACCCAACACCAGTCACTTAATCTACTTGGCTTTTGCGCTGCAGTCTGGAAGCAGTTCTCCGCTCCCGGGAGAAAGGGAAAAAGGACCAGCACGGGAGATACCGATGACCAGTCATCTCTATCTATCTGATCGATGCCTGAACAGTGACCCAACGATTAGGACACAGTACGTACCGTGGAACAAACTGGGGATCGGATCGGACCGAATGGATAGTCAGTGTTCTCGCTCATGGACTGTGAGGGGTGATCTCGCCACAAACCCGGCCAAGATGCGTAGGGGTCGTGCAACGCCTCAGATATACAGACCACCATTGACAGGGAAAGAGAGAGAGAGAGAGAGAGAGAGCAACTAAGCAAGTCTGGAGGTGACGACGTGGGAGATGGATTCCGAGCTCCGGGTTCTGTGTTGTCCTCCCCCCAAACTCAAACACGAACCCTATCCCGGTTTCCTTCCTCGAGGACCCCCACTGCGAATGGGGCCTCGAGTGGGGTGCGGTCAGTGCCCTTGCCTCGCTTGAGTCCGGTGTATACATACTACTATGTAGTATGTAGCCAGTCAGCCAGCCATGCTCGAGACCGAAGATGGTTCGACATTCCAGAGTCAGTTAATATTTCCCCCCCCAGTTATCTAATGGATAGTTTTTTTGACAGGAAATGGTGACACCAGGCCAAGTTCCCCAGGCATCCGTCATGTAACTCAACCCATACCCATTGCCAGGAACTCGGTGGGGACATCAATCGTCTTCCCAGTTCCTCCGATATCCTAACCTGGTAAGTGGACGGTAGATGATAACCAGTCCCTTGCACCATACCTGCACCCGACGTTTGGAGGGATCTGCTGTTGCAGAATAAACAGAGCTCCTGCATGCCTCCCGAGTCTGCGTCAATCATTGGTTTTCACACTTGTCAATATTCCCCCACACCGCGCCCACACTGTTAACAGTCATACCATCATGATCATCCTTCTTCCCAGCGACGGTCTTTTCGTAGCATACCATTTAGACCCGGGACTACTGGACCGACCGATAACAGGTAGTGGATCAATGCATTTTGACGGCAGTGGATGGCACAGGGATACAATAGCAGCGCTTCTGCCTTGGTCAATAAGCATGGGGGGTGACTTGGCTGGTACGTGCCCCTACGTCACACATACACACACATACTCCGTACACACCAACAGACTGCGTAGACATCATACATCACCATTATCATACCTGCCTGATATCTCATGCAGAGACAATGGGGGTGACGTTTCCTACCATGTTACTTACGGCCTTATTCCGGGGCGATGACTTGCAGGGTCCTACAGGTATTTGCACTAGGTGGAGATGCCAGGCCACACTCCCTACCACCTATACAGTATCAGTATCGCGCTCCTCCTCGGTGCCCAAGGCTGCCATCAGACTCCGTATACAATGATACATTGGCACCAATCGAGCAGCACCGTCTCTACCGGCCCCGACAACGGTAGGTTACTGTCTCCATCGCTCGGAATGAGTAGCCCCCCAGCATAGATCACATCCTATTCTTCCAAACAATCTTAGACAATGAGAATGTCCGTATCAATTGAATGCAGACACCCCCGCTCCGGTATCTCATCTCTGTACAACCTCCAGCCGGCACAATTATCCGAGCAAATAGAACCCAAGACGTGACCCAAATGCACGTATAGGATACACAAGAGTTCAATCTCTGCGAGATTGACGTAAACCCAATTGTCGACTGAGATCCTAGCTGTTCTGAAAAGTCCTCCGCTGTTAGATCCATTCTCACCAGCATGTCGATGTCTAGAATAATAGAGGCGGAATAGAGTGAGTCAGTGAGCGCTGTGTCAAGGCCCGTCTATCTACCTTGTCCTACTACTACCAGTCGTTGACTGTTCGTATTGTCTGGCAAGCGAGAACGTGTTTGGGATATTTCACGGGTGCGTCGGTAGCACCTTCCCCATTTGTCCGAAATCAATCATTCGTCTATCCTACAACTCCAGACTAGACAATTTCTATTACATGGAGTATTACAATCAACCCGAAACCTACCCTTGAGCCGATACAGCGCGGCTAGGTCGATAAATCGAAGAAATCTAAATCTAGATGTGATCTAGATGATGAGATAGTGACCCAATGGCTCACACCTGCGTCCAGAGAGGCTGAGGCAATTCGTCGCCGGGCTGGATCAGAGAATCCCCGTGGCAGGCCTTCGGTCCAGTCGGTTGGGATACCAGTCCTGCTCGACTACCCGGAGTTGGCGGGTGGAATCCAACGTACGCCTCACGACGGGCAGGTTCTCCCACGGTGATGGACCAAGTGTGCAGGCCGTAATAGGATGCGATGGAATGAACGAGCCAGCGACTGGTGAGAGAAAGATGGTAAGTACAGTCTTATTGTCGTAGATGGATGACAACACTTACCCGAATCCAGCGGCCCGGTCGTCGACCAGGCTCTCGAACACCATCTTCTCTCCGTCACGCTCATTATGAGCACTCATCGCCTCACGCATCTTTTGCAATGTCGCCTTCCGTTGAGGCGAATCATGCATCAGACCGTTTCTCCCCACAAACACTACCTCATCCTCGGAATCATCGTCGGATGATTGAGGAGCGTCCGCCAGACCCTCTTGCTTTAGCAAGAGCTGCTTCTCGTTCCATCGCTGGATGAAGTGTCTGATATCTTCTTCTATATCCTGAAGTATGCCGCGTGCAGCACGTGCGTGCTTTAATTTCTGGCGGAGCTCCTTAGGAACGCGGTGTTTCTCGGTCCTCTCTGTCGTCTGCTTCGACGAACTATGGTCCAGGTGGGCATAGTGAGTATCCCAGAGCGGAGCGAGGTAGTAAGGCATGGGGTCGTGACGAGTATGGGTTGCCTGGATGTCCCAGTCCTTGGAAGAAGGCGGCTCGACCCACGGATTATGCAGGAGACGATCTTTAAAAAGAAGCACATCCGGTCAGCATCTCCTCACCGCAACGATAAAGGGACGCCAGGCCGGGGAATTGGGGCACGGGCGTGTATCCAATGTCTCAAGACATACCATTCTCCCAACGCTGCCTGCGACGACTACCGTCTTTACCCTTCAATAAAGCCTCCCGTCGCTTTAGGCTATCGCGGCGCATCAGCTCGCGACGCCGGAAGGTTACCGATGCCACCTGCGTCTCCTTTGCGGGCTGGCCTAGAAGCTTGACCTTGGATGCGGAAGGGCTTTCGGTTGTCGGCACAGGATCATCCAAGGGAATCGATAGCGAGACCGTCGCTCCGCGCAAGGCGGTGCGCGTAGGAGTGGACTGCGAAAAAGAGACATTCTGGTCGCCAATCGGCACTGACTCCGAGAGAGTCAGATTCTCCAAGGATGCAGCCGCCTGTTCAGTCCAAGCCGAGATGGCTCGAGCCTGCTGTGGCGAGAGGTTTCCTCTCGGGTCCACTTCAGATGGGAAACTAGGGTGGATGGCCATCGCGAAAGTGCAACGCGGTTCGGACGTGTCTCGATAACGGGATAACGGGATAACTGGTAGGGGAGGTGGCCAGGGGAACCTGGAGATTGGAGGGTGACTAGGCACACAGAAGGCGTCACAGCCTAAGACGAGAGTCTGAGGTACTCTAGGGAGGGATCACTAGAGGCAGTGACTTCTGGGAGAAGACCGACAGGATCGGGGGAAGGCGGGGGGGCGAAGGGAAGCCAGGCTGAGTGAGATAAGAGGACGAGATAACCAATTGTGCTCCGTCGCGTTCGACGGTCGAGGCCGGGACAGAACGGTACTGTGTAGGCGCCGGGGAAGATTTCGGATCCACCAGTTGACTCGTACTGGGGCACGAGAAGAATCAGTTCGCTTTCATTGGATGCCTTTGGCGCTTACCCTAGCCCTACCTGCCTGAATGGGAAACGAGGCAGGGGCGTCCTGTGAGTCATCGTGACTGGGAGTGGCTCACTGATTCGCGAGCCGATGATTCACGCGACGGCGGTTATCCACCACTGCGGTGGTGATGTAAGTCCCTTGCGCCTTGGAATCTTATCTTTTACTTGTCGTACATACGTACGGAGTACAGGTGGCCTGTCCAGGCCTGCATCTATAGGCATCCGACCCTGGGATCGAGTGGAGTGAGTGCCTATGAATGACTGACCCCGGACAATTGTATGCTATCTATACAAACCATGTTCGGAAACGAAGGAAGGCCCAAGGACACAATGGCCCCGAGATCGACACGCCTGACCATGTTCCGTCATGAGACACGGCAAGAGATGCTTGCTTCACTCTATTTCTCATATGAAGATGGTGCCCTGTGCGGAGAATATCTGGCTTGGGTGATGTCTTCATAGAGCCGGGTTTTAAGTAGAATTCAGGCACCCCCGATGAGCATCCTCGGCCTTGGAACAATGTATCAGGTCACACAGACAGGTGTAGGGTCGATTAAAGTCCATGGATTCCTCATCTCAACGGGAGCATTCGGCTAGAATTCTTGGGGTTTGCCTTAGAAAGGCCAAATGCACAATCCCATCGAGTCGGTCAGTCGCAGAGCCGGCTCAACGGGTCAAGCACAACGCCTCGATCCTACGAACGGAAAGTCGCTGCCTGATTTCCGGCCGCGGGGCTTTGACCTGGAGCATTGCGCTAATTGCGGGCCATGATATCAAGACTGAGGGAGCTTGGGGCTGCCTCTGCAATGATCCGGGTTCAGGTACACGGCCCCGTGACGGTCGCACGACGGCTTAAGAATGGCAATTGCCATCAATTGCCATTGACTACTAGCATGCTCCAAGGGCTTGTTTAGACAGATCCTCTCAAACAACGATTTTTTCTGGATCATGTTCAAGGACTGACTAGCCAAGATGGGGAAGATAGGAAGGTAGATTGTGCCAGTGCTTCCTGGGACCACCCCGCTGGGCGGCTAATGTGCCTTGATTTCTATCCAGGAACCACTGAATAATCCACGGCTCCAGGTCAGGTCAGGCCATCTTCCAATCGTGCCGACCAGAGAGAGGGTAGGACGGAGGAGAGGGGGTTCCTACAGACAGACAGCCTTGGCGGGCGAGACCTGCTGAGTTGTGCGACCGGCGCGTGTTTCTTATTTAAGCCGCGCGCGCACCTCTGACGCAACTGTCTCAAGTGGTCTCTCCTCCATTCGAGTGTTCCCCCCGAGTTTCATCAGCGCAATCCCCCGGGTCGAGTCGATTTTGGAACCCAACTCCTCGCCCGTGTCTCGCTCAGCTCTTGGTCTTTTGCCCCTGGAAGCATCAACTATCGGCCGTTGTTCGAGCGGGCGCCTTAAACTCCTCATTTCCGGTGCAGAGGCTTATCAGCATCAGCAATACCACTATCTTTTCATCATTTACCTGCCTTCCTCGATCCTTCACATCGGTAGATCTTCGTAGACAACATGAAGCTTTCCATGACTTTTGCACTGGGCGCAACCGCTGCCACCGGGGCGTTGGCGGCCGTGCTACCGCAGCAGGAACCATTGACAACTCCCCAGGATCCCCCTGCTCATCATCACCAAGAAAAGTTCTTGATTGAACTGGCTCCTTATCAAACAAGATGGGTAACTGAGGAAGAAAAATGGGCTCTGAAACTGGTACAGCATCGTCCTCCTGCTCGCTAACGTCCAAACTCTCCTGGAATTTCATCACTTGCTAATTACCATGAACCTTGCCTTAGGATGGTGTCAACTTCATCGATATCACTGAAGAACGGAACACCGGGTTCTACCCAACTTTGCACGCCGGCAGTTACGTTCACTATCCGCCGACGATGGAGCATGCGGATGCGGTGACCGGCCTTCTACAGGGCCTGTCCAAGGATAATATGGAACAAAATCTCGAAAAGTTTACCTCATTTCATACCCGCTACTACAGATCGGCGACCGGTGTTGAGTCTGCGACGTGGCTATACAACAGAGTTTCAGATGTAATCGAACAGTCGGGCGCAGCGAAGCACGGCGCGACAGTCGAGCAGTTTGCTCACCCTTGGGGCCAGTTCAGCATCATTGCTCGAGTTCCTGGTCAGACTAATAAAACGGTCGTTCTGGGTGCTCATCAAGACAGCATCAACTTGTTCCTTCCCTCTATCCTGGCGGCGCCTGGGGCGGACGATGACGGAAGTGGAACTGTTACTATCCTCGAAGCTTTGCGTGGTCTGCTGCAGTCAGACGCCATTGCTCGGGGAGAGGCTCCAAACACAGTCGAGTTCCACTGGTATTCAGCGGAGGAAGGTGGCATGTTGGGCTCACAGGCTATCTTCTCTCAGTACAAGCGGGACCGGCGAGATGTCAAGGCAATGCTGCAACAGGACATGACGGGCTATACGCAGGGAGCTCTAGAGGCTGGCCGTCAGGAAGCCATCGGGATCATGGTCGACTACGTTGACCAGGGTTTAACGCAATTCCTCAAAGACGTCACGAACACAGTAAGTCACTCATCAACTTCTTAATGTACATTTGCCTAATGAGCCCGCCCAAAGTACTGCGGTATTGGTTATATTGAAACCAGATGCGGCTACGCCTGCTCCGATCACACGTCGGCCAGTAAATACGGATATCCAGCAGCCATGGCAACCGAGTCCGAAATGGAGACCAGCAACAAGAAGATTCACACGACGGATGACCGCGTCAAGTATCTAAGCTTCGATCATATGCTGGAGCATGCGAAGTTGACTCTCAGCTTTGCATATGAACTGGCTTTTGCCCCATTTTGATGTTCTTGCATGATCGGCATGTCGATTTAGGACGGAACGAAATGTTTAAGTACCGGGGGAGACGGATTATAGAGCCGTATGTTGCATCTCTACTTCGTCCACGGTATTACTTCTATATAGCAACCACGCTTCTTGCTGGCAGAATAACCATACAATGTCACACGATACTTATAACAGATCTTGTCTATCTCTTGGTCAATGAAAACTGCCCCGGGTAAATTTGGCCCATATAGAGATTCCACCTTCGGAAATGGCTGCAGTCTCTGAAATTAGCCGCTTTAACTATAACGCCCCGGTCACTTGAGTTCATTATAGCTTCAAATGAGCTTATGCCAAGACCACTCAATAGTGAATCACTCTAGTATGAAGACCAAAGGCACCCTAACCTTAGGCCTATGCAAGTCTTGACTGATGACATGACACCCCTGCTAGTCCCTGTCAATGCATCCTCAAGCCAATGTCTCATTGGTTGTCTTGTAAGTATGGATTTCGCTCTTCTTTGGACTTTTAGGTCCTGTTGGCCTTTAATCTGTTTGTTGTGCAGCGATTGTTTACGGATGGTCTGATTTAATTACTGGCTAACTAGTTTTCACTGGGAAGTAGCTGGTACGCACTATCACTGTCGATATAAAATATCTCATAACACTGAAGACATTCAATGAGGTGAATGCTAGGTGAGGATGATTGTCTCTGTAGGCACTAGGCATAGTATGTGCTCTGTTGCTTCTGCCGATAAGATAACCAACCGAAAGATCCGGCCATACCCAACTGAGACACACTAGCCCGAAGCGGAAGGACGGTCACTCTGCCGGGCGATCACTTTCACTGGCTTCATCTTCGAGTCACAACCCATGACCCCCATTTCGTCATTCCCAACCCCTGCTACCCTCCCTGAAGAGATCCTCACTGAGACCAATTCGTCTTCTTATCATCCCTCAACTCCATTTTGCTGAAGTACATTGACACCCCAAGCTCATCCACCCATCCCTTATCATACGTCACCAGCGGTGTGCCCCTCCAAGAAGACCCCACAATCAGACCTTGGATCCGATAATAATCGTGTGCGCGCCCGAGAGAAGCTGCACCGTCCGTTTCAAGTTCAAAGCACTGTTGGAATCGGAGACAACTTGACTGGGAAGCTCAATTGAGACACCCTTCGCAGTCATCCCTGTGCAAAAGCGATCAGATCTTCCTGAAAAAAAGTCAATCTCTTATCGAGTGGTACGGTACACATCTGGCTACCATGGAAGCTACCGATCCCTACGCCAAGGAGCTTCAGATCGCCTGTCTGACAGTCCAGAGAGCTACGCTTTTGACGAAAAAGCTCCTGGAAGCTGTCGACAAGGGTTCTTTCGACAAGAATGACGATACCCCGGTGACCATTGCCGATTTTGCTGCTCAGGCATTGATTATTGCTGCTATCCATCGTGCTTTCCCTGATGATGTTTTCGTGGGCGAGGAGAGTTCCGATGCGCTAAGAGCCGATCCTGCTCTTCTGGAGCGGACGTGGGAGCTGGTCTCCTCGACTCGTCTTTCGGATGAGGAGAGTGAGGCGCTGCTCTATGCTCCTAGCAGTAAGGAGGAAATGCTTGACTTGATCGATCTCGGAGCGCAGGGAAGCTGTAGTAAGCAGACTCGTGCCTGGGTTCTGGATCCGGTTGATGGTACGGCTACCTTTATACACGGGCAGCAGTACGCTGTTTGTCTGTCTTTGGTAGAGAACGGATTCCAGAAGGTCGGCGTGTTGGGCTGTCCGAACATGAACCTGGAGACGGGCCGTCTACACGAAGAAATTGTCGATCGGGATGGGTATGGGCACCAGGTGTTCGCCGTTGCTGGACAAGGCGCATTCATTCGGAAGATGGGAACCGGGGCTCTTCTTCCATTGAGCAAGATTGAGCCCAAGGCTCAGATTACAGACGCTCAGGATATTGACTTTGTGGATTGTTTGAAAGCGACATCGTCCAACACGGATATGCATGCCCGCCTTGCAGCTCACCTTGGCGCACCGTGGCCAGCCTCGACAGACCTCTGGGCCGCGCAGCTGCGGTACATTGCCATCGCGGTGGGAGGCTGTAATGTCATGATTAAGATTCCGCGGAAAGCTTCCTATCGCTCGAAGATATGGGATCACTCGGGCGGCATGTTGATTGCTGAGGAACTCGGTTGTACTGTTAGCGACTTGGCGGGTAATCCAGTCGACTGCAGCCTGGGAAGAAGTTTGGCGGAGTGCTACGGAATGATTGTTGCGCCTTCGTCCATCCACGGCAAGCTCGTGGAGGCTGTGAAACAGATCATGTAGGACAAACGGCTAATCCGGGGTCAGGGTTGGCGGATGAGCTGTCTTACGGTCCCCGCTTCCCATTTTTGCTTTTTTGAGGGCCATAGGGTTTCTCATATTCCGAGTTGATGGAGAAGACTACGGACTATGCCCTCGCTGCGCAGGCCCCAGGTGGATTGACAGACCAGCTCGTGCGGAAAGCTGAGGCGAACCCGTCAGGTTGCAGCATAATGGACCAGACACCAAACATTATTTATGCGGATACGTATCCATCAAGGCACATTTGTATTATGTCTGGCCACTGGCGGAAAAGACACTTGGCTGCGTGCGCCAACAGGACCGTGCGCGGATCGACAACGTGCGGATGGCGATCAACTACATCAGAGGATGACGGAGGGAGGGCAGGTACTTTTATACTGCGTCCTGTTCGCATTTCAGCCATTATTAGCGTGGAATAGGGTTCTTAAGCGGGAAAAGGATTGATACCATTCAGGATGATGTCATAGATCCGAGTCGTCACCTCATTGTGCCACAGTGACCCCACCTATAGTAGGATCTTCCCCCCAAAGTAGACCCGGTCCGGTAGAAGCGAGCAAAAAACCAGACGAGGAACGACGCAACACGACATCCGGAAGGGCGGCAGTCCCGTGATGGACGGGAGGCTGGCCAGTGAGCGAGCAGCCAGCCGGTCAGGAGATCAGGCAATGCGGGGGAGCTTTTCCCAATGACATCTTCCAGTCGGCTTCCCAGATGCGACACAATATAACCCACCGCATGTCCTCTTCCCCCCGGTTTGTTCCAGAGCTCTCTGCTTCGAGGCACCGACCGTTGTTCATCTCCCGTAGCCATCCATCTGACGCCCAGTCGTAGCTGTTTGGTTCATCATGGCAACCTGTGAGCGTCTCTTCCTTGGCGTCCATTTCCATCCCTTACTAACGTCCGTCGGTCCTCAGACAATCCATTCGCCAAACGAGAGTCGCACGACAGGTTCTCGCTGGGAACCTATCGTGTTCTCGTGCCTTTGTCGTGGGCGCTTGTCGTGATCGTCGGCATCTACTATTCCAGCCATGCCCCCGATGTCAAGCACGGCCATACTATCTGGAAGCAGGCCAACAAGCATATCACACCCTTTAGCTTGAGCACTGTCATTGGTGGTATCTACTGGTAACTACCCTATCTTCTTATTTACTCTCATCTATCTACTTCCCAATTCTGAAACCTCTTCCCAACCCGACCAATCATCAAGTTCGTCTAACGCACTCCAGGGTCATTGTACTCATATCCCAAGTCGGCTATGTGTATCATCTCTTCTCCAATGACGCCGTGGTGGCTACCGCCGCTGCCAATGTAGGATCCCACTTCATTCTGAACAACCTGTTCATCTTTGCTTGGATTCTCCTGTGGACCCGCAACCACTTCTGGGGCTCAGAGATCATTTTGATCGCGCACTTCTTGAATCAAAAGACGACCTACTGGCGCCATCGCACGCTGCCATCTATCTCACACTTCGCCGCCGTCGCAGCGCCCTACGCCTGGACTCTGATTGCGCTGTTCTGGAACGGAGCTGTCGCAGTGAACAGCAACAGCCTCCCGGCGAGGATCGTGGCTAATGTGTTCATCTGGGTGCTTTTCTCATTGGGCTCGACGCACATCTTGGCCACCCAGGATGACATTCTGGGTTACAGTCTGAGTTTCTTGACGCTGGGTATGCAGTACCATAGACCCTCCCGAAAGTGTGATCAAAACGCTAATAGACATTTGCAGCATTGGCCGTTAAGCAGGTTGGCGTCAAGATTATTTCCCTGCAATGGATTTTCGCCATTGTCATCTTTGTCGTCTTCTTCGCGGAGTCCCTCTACATTACTTTGACGAAGTACTCCGGTCGCAATGTCTTCTTCCGCAGGGCTGAGCAGCCGCTGGCGGCCGACCGTGAGCGGGAGCCTTTGCTCAACGAATCGGCACAGCCTGCGCAGTCTGCCTAATTATGTGATGTCGAGCTGAGCGTACGATGGATACTTGCTGGGATTCATGTGGTTTCTAGGCCACTTGATTTCGCAGGGAAGTCAGACAATTGTGTTCGGTTGGTTCTCGTCGTCTCCTCTCGGCGCTGTATACTGCCATGGGTATTACCCGCTATGGTTCTCGGGATTGATTGTCCGCAAGGCTGGAGTCATGATTGAGTTACGGCATCGGTCAATGGGCTTTATAGTAATCGGGTGCAATTTCGGTGCAATGTGTCTGTCTTCGCTGGATTTATTGTCAATTCCTCTGGAAACGATCTGTTGTTATATTATTGTTGTTGCCATTATTGCTCCAGTATTTATATGATCGGAGTTACGTCACTAGAAACAGAATGGATGTTCATCACTCGATCCGTGCCTAGCCCAGTAGTAAGGCAAGACGCCACATGCAGCAGAGATAAGTTGATATCCTCAACGAATGAATGAAATTCGATAGACTACAATCAGCGTTTCTCACCGAACAGTATATCAATCCGTCGTGCTTCGAGTCAAAAGTATAATATGCCCATCAGGATAGAAGGGTTATAGTTCCCCAGGTACCCGACCCACCTTCTAAACGTACCAGAAACAACCTCTTATAGTAGCACACAGCGAATAACCCTCATATCACAGCTCACCGCAAAATCGGCCCCTTGTGATCTCTATGTCTTGCCCAAACAAATAGGGCCAAGTGGTGCTTCTTCTGCTAATATCAAAACACGGAACATTGCCACTGGTTGCCAGAAATGTAGAATGCCGTCTGTATCATGCCAGGTAATCTTGGCCTCTTTGTCGGTAGCTGGGGCGTTTGGGGCAGTGGTATAGTTGCGAGCATGTCTAGAATATAGAATATGTGTTTCTTTGAGAAGATCTGGGATATATATATTTGTGTAAACCGCAGGCCGTGGATATTAGCAGGCAATATGATTGGTGGATTTTTCAGATCCTTGTTCCCTTTTCATTGTGTTCGAAGAGAACTGTGATAGGAGTGACTGATAACGGTGTCGCCGTAATGGGTTCCAACATCACTGCTCTGCTGTAATATACATAGACAGGGACAGAAGGAACCCGAGTTGCCGAGTTTCATCTCTTTTTCTAATTCGTAGTTGGGCAAGTCGAATTGAATGTTGTAGATGACTGAGATGGTCCCCCGTGTATTGATGATTTGAAACATATTCCTTGCTTCTTGCAGTTCGATATGCCCAGCCAGTGTTGCCCCAGTGGCATAGTCTATCTTGACCAGAGCAGTCCCAGGTTTCTTGTCTGTTCCCAGTCCCGGTGTAGTGACTTTGCTGTTTGGATTTCATTGAGCGAAACCATGGGGATTATAGATTCCTTCGTAACCGAGTGAGTCTGTTCATACATCCGGTCATTCCCATTCCATCTGGCCATCGCTTGAGTATGTTCATGCCTGACACAAGGCCACGTTTGCCAGGATTGGGAATCAGTCGAGGGGCTCTTCGTGGCCCCTCCATAAGGCAGGCCCGGATGTGTCCGCAGGGCGTTGATGCATCTTTCATATCAAGCTTCATCTGGACTTTGTGAAAATCTCAATAGCTCTCTTCTCATTCAGTACTATGAGATAGAGATAAAACATATTTCCCGGTGACTACCGTGAAGATGGGAGTATTGTAGATCTTGAGTATTTGGTCGGCATCTGGCTATATTCCAGGTCCGAACAATCGACAGGCCAGCATCGCCTCACATAACTCGGACCCATCAGGCTGATGGAATATGAATTAATTTGAAGTTGAAAGTAAAATTGAAGGTGTCTGCCAGGTGCCAATTGAACTAAGTCAGCACTGCAGCATAAAGCTAAAGGATACATCTTTCTCTCCTGGCGTTCTTCGAAGGCACTACGCAGTGCGGACAAGCCCCCAGGGCTTGTGATTCATCCATTGTGTAGAATTGTCATGTACGGAGTATGCAATGTGAAACTAGACTGTATCCCTGGCCAGAGGGGTTGTTTTTGATACCTTGATGAGTTCAATCCCCGCACATGCGTCAGAGCTTAGGCTGTTAGGTCTGTTCTATGTAAATACTCCGCTTACGGAGTATACTGAAGCCGGAGTATTGTCCGGTGAGGAGGGGATTTGAAGGAAGAGGACGTATGTGGAGAGTAGTAGTAGAAGTAGGGCGGAGGAAGGCATACACATTTTATATATTTGGTGTATCCGTGAATCAAATTAATCCTCCAAGTGATAGACAATATGTCACAGAACCCAGTAAACAGACTACAGAAGTGACTCAAGCTACTGACCGAGGTGATTGACGAGTAAGGATATTCATGAGGCTTGTCCTCGCTTGATGTGGATCAGTGAAGCGGATTTGAGGATGACGGCTTCAGGCACAGCGAAATGGTGCCTGAGAGAAGATGGAGTCGGCCCACGGAAACCGACCGGAAATGGACGGAAACCGGAGCCACAACCAAAAGCAAGTAAGGAACAGGAACACACCCCGGAACCATTGGGATTTCTGCTTCGATCAAGTGGTGTCTTTCCGCTGCAAGGATGGTCGCCCCGCCCGCTCGCTCCTCCAAGCTTCGGTTGCCCCGGTGATAACCACGCTCTCCACGCCGCACTGTTCGTCAGCGCCGTGATTACGACGGCTTCTAGGCGCCCGTATCCAAGGTGATTTCATAAGAAGACGCTGGGGCGAATCTCTGTCCGGCCCGTCCTTCATCTGTCTTCACGTGTTGACGCCAGTGTGGTTGGTCGCAACGTTTGTTTACCACGAACCTTCGAGTTTCGCATCCGAGGTTCCACGCTCTGACGTGCTGCATCCTTTGTTCGATCTCGTTTCCTGATACATTCCGATCCACCTCCAAGCATATTTGGTTTGTTTACGGGACTACCAGACAACCGGTTGCTCCTGCCCATCGTGAGTTACATTCTCCATGACACAATCTGGTAGCAGAGCAAATTAGACTAACGCTTTGGCTTGCCTTCAAGAACCGGCAGATCAGTGCAATCGGGTGCTTTAGGTTGAGATCGTCTTGCATCAGCAACGCAGATACCTGAGAGAACATCTTGTACCACCGTTACCTTGACCATCGGATACTATGAACGATTGAGCGGATAGCAGACAACCATGAACAATTCGTCGCGGATGTATGTGCCGGCGCACAACCAGGAGGAGGAGCCGCCGGCATACGATACTTATGGAGAGGCGGTCTATGACTCTCCTCCAGCATCTCGTCTGAATGGAGCCACGATGCGGCTCCTTCCAACCAGCACGACTGTCGAGAGTGATTTGAGCGCTGAGACGGGGCCTGCCTCGGAGTATCCCTATGGGGAACCATATACCGATGATAGCAGGTCAGTAACGATCCATTCCATCTTATTAGGTTGTGTGGTGGCTTCTGGCATACCATGGATCCCGTGTGGCATGTGCCATCCGGCGTGGGGCTCCATACCTCTTCCCTTGTTGACATGGTCGATGCCATTAAACCCTTGGTTTGGCAAAGGCCAGGTCTATCGGGGAGTTTGAAAGCAGTTCTCGTGCTGTAAACCCATAGCATACGTTGCTTCCCTGGCCTGTGCCTACCATACTCTTGTTTGCATATCGGATGTCTCCGGACATCCGGCGCAACTTCTTTCAGGATGATTTACGAGATGTTGGTTATGAAACGAGAGGCTAATGGGCGTGCTCAAATCCGCAGAAGTGAACGCGATCGATACTTCCAGTATGACTCGAGTGACTCTCCTTCACGGCCCATGTCGAGTCTGGGAAACGTACCAACGATCCCTCCGCCAGCGGCATCGACGGTAGATGCCCCACAATATACTTCGCGTCCTGGTTCTCCCGCGCGGCCGTGGTCGCCGAATCGTGTAGGGAACTGGGCCAGACCCCCGGCGCCGCCATCGGTCGCAAGCTCGCAGTATGAACGTGCGGATCTCAACGGCAGTCCACGACCGGGCACCCCCAGTTCAAGATACGGGGGTAGTCCTAGGCGACCGCTGCCACCGGCGCCACTGTTCTCAATCCCAGGGGCTCAGGATACGAGCATTCCTATCAACGAAGGGGATGTATTCGGTGGCGGCGGGCGGACTATCGACCCTAGGCACGACAATCGAGCCAGCATGCAATCACTCATGAGCGAATCTACGATCACAGACGAGAAAGATATGATGTCGAAAATTGATCTGGATGATGGTCTGGATGAAACCGATGAGATGGTCGACCCGAACATGCATTATGGCCCAGCTCCGGAAAAGCAGAGTCGCCGAGGTGTTCGCGAAGCCCAGATGTCAAGGAAAGAGGTCCAACTGATCAACGGTGAACTGATTCTGGAGTGCAAGATACCGACTATTCTGCACTCCTTTCTGCCTCGACGAGACGACCGTGAATTCACCCACATGCGCTATACTGCCGTGACCTGTGATCCGGACGACTTTACCCAGCGAGGCTATAAGCTGCGCCAGCAGATCGGTACTACGATGCGCGAGACAGAGTTGTTCATCTGTATTACGATGTACAATGAGGATGAGATCGGCTTCACCCGGACCATGCATGGTGTCATGCAAAATATCACCCACTTCTGTTCGCGATCCAAATCTCGGACGTGGGGTAAGAATGGCTGGAAAAAGATTGTGGTCTGCATCATCGCCGACGGTCGTAAGAAGGTACACCCCCGGACCCTGAATGCTTTGGCTGCCCTGGGGGTCTACCAGGAAGGCATCGCCAAGAACGTCGTCAATCAAAAGCAGGTTAACGCACACGTCTATGAGTACACGACGCAGGTGTCGCTTGATCCAGACCTGAAGTTCAAGGGTGCCGAGAAGGGCATCATGCCCTGCCAGGTCATCTTCTGCCTGAAGGAACATAACAAGAAGAAGTTGAACTCGCATCGTTGGTTCTTCAACGCTTTTGGTCGAGCGCTACAGCCGAACATCTGCATCTTGCTCGACGTCGGTACCAAGCCTGCACCCACCGCACTGTACCACCTCTGGAAAGCCTTCGATCGGAACTCCAACGTTGCGGGAGCAGCGGGTGAAATTAAGGCCGGTAAAGGAAAGGGAATGCTCGGTCTCCTGAACCCGCTGGTTGCCAGTCAGAATTTCGAATATAAGATGTCCAATATTTTGGACAAGCCGTTGGAATCCGTTTTCGGGTATATCACGGTGCTTCCCGGAGCGCTCAGTGCGTATCGCTTCTTCGCTCTGCAGAACGACGCCGAGGGCAACGGACCCCTAAACCAGTACTTCAAGGGAGAAACGCTACACGGACAGGATGCCGATGTGTTCACAGCCAACATGTACCTGGCAGAAGATCGTATTCTCTGCTGGGAGCTGGTCGCGAAGAGGGAAGAAAGATGGGTTCTGAAGTTCGTGAAGAATGCTGTTGGTGAAACCGACGTGCCAGGTAACTACGACGCCTGCCCTACCGAGAGTGAAGGCCGCTAACATGCTCGCTAGACTCGATTCCCGAGTTCATCTCGCAGAGAAGACGCTGGCTGAACGGTGCCTTCTTTGCAGCCGTGTATTCGATCGTCAATGTAAAGCAACTCTGGAAAACGGACCATTCGCTGGCTCGGAAGATCCTCCTTCAGATCGAGGGCTTCTACCAGTTCATGCAACTGATCTTCACATACTTTGGCTTGGTAGGTCCCTCCACTCAGTGCCATACCGGAAACATTTGCTTAACCAACCCATCACTACCAGGCAAATTTTTATCTCGTCTTCTACTTCATCGCCGGCTCGCTGACTGACGAAAAAATTGACCCCTTTGGCCATAACATCGGCAAATATATCTTCATTATCTTGAGATACGCCTGCGTACTGGTGATGTGCCTACAGTTCATCATTTCCATGGGTAATCGGCCGCAAGGGTGAGTCGTCCATGTCGTGATAAAGGCGAGCCAAGCTAACCCAGATTGCAGCGCCAAAAAGCTATACCTGTCCGGAATTATTGTCTTCGCGATCGTCATGTTCTACACCATCTTCTGCACCGTTTATCTGGTGGTGATCGAACTGATCGCCAAAACCGGCGGGGATTCGTCATTAACCGTGAGCAACGGACTTTTCATCAATATCGTCATGTCGCTGCTTTCCACTGTCGGCCTCTACTTCTTCTCCTCATTCCTCTACCTGGACCCGTGGCACATGTTTACATCTTCCGCGGCCTACTTCATCCTGCTCCCCAGTTACATCTGCACCCTGCAAGTGTACGCATTCTGCAACACTCACGATGTATCCTGGGGTACCAAGGGAGACAACGTGCTGAACATGGATCTCGGAGCTGCACGAGTCATCAACGGAACCACCGTTGAAGTCGAAATGCCCTCGGAGCAACTCGACATTGACAGTGGCTACGATGCCGCGCTCCGCAATCTCCGGGATCGAGTCGAAGTTCCCGAAACCCCCATCACCGAGAGCCAAATGCAAGAAGACTACTACCGCGCGGTGCGTACTTACATGGTCTCCATCTGGATGGTGGCCAATGTCATCCTCGCCATGGCCATCTCCGAAATCTACGGCCCGGACGCGGGCGGCACGAACATCTACCTCGCCATCATCCTCTGGTCCGTGGTGGTCCTGGCCCTGATCCGTGTGATCGGGTCCACGACGTACGCCATCTTACTCGTTGTGCAGAAGATCGTCGAAGGCAAGGGCAAATTCGATGCCGGCAATCTGGCGAACATGAGTGCTACCTCGAGCGCGGTGAGCGGACACAATAGCACGGCGCTCCGGTATGGGGGTGGCGTTAGCATGAAGGATAAATTCTCGGAGACGAAATGGACGATGAAGAGACAATTAGGTAAAGCGATGTTTTGGAGGAAGTGATGACTTGATCATTCTGTCTCACTTCCTAGACATCCCCCTGGTGTTTGTGTTTGTGTTCTCATTTCTTTTTCTTTTTCTTGGATGGAATTTTGACGACTTAATGGATGGATGAACGGGTTTCTCATGTATGTATTTATGTTTCATGATGATGCATTGATGGATGGGTATAATGGATTGTATATGACCAATGATATGGATTTGCTTCATGTTGATTGAAGAGTAGACACTCGGTGGATCAATCAGAGCATCGACCTAGTCTGCTCCGTTCCACCATTCAGGATCCCACTGACCAACGCACCCGCCGCCAGAGTCTCCTCGTCTTTGAAATGCTTTCCGACTAATTGCAGTGCAATCGGTGCACCTTCGTATCGTTCCGGACCGGTGTATTTACTCCACTCGCGCGCGTCCACCTCGCCTCGAGGTGTATATGTCTTATCGTCGCCGGAAAGTTGGTCCAACTGGAGATCCACGCTCAGGCCGGAGGGGAACACGACGGCCGGCTGGTCGAGGATGTTCCAGATAGCAGTGTAGTTCCAGTAGTGGGATTCGCCTAGCACGGAGGCGACGCCCGCGTACGCAGGGCAAAGAATGAAATCTACCCCGCGGGATTTCATCAGCGCGTGGTATTCGTCTCTGTATGTGTCGCGCTGGACGTTCAGCTCCCAGGCTTCGGCGACCGTGAGAGGGTCGGGACTGCTATAGGCGAACGCCCAGGCCGTCAAGGGGAGGGTTGGCTCTCCGGTTTGAGAGATGAGGTTTCGTTGGCTGAGTGCTCCGTCCGGGAAGTACATCGAGGACTGGTGTTTTGGTTAGAATGGGTAGGTAGTATCGGCAGTAGCATGGGTCATACGATAATATCCCAACCGTGCTCATGCTTATAAGGGTCCCAATCAATGACCTTGAGACCAGCTGCTTGGAGCTTGGCTTTGGCGTGTTTGAGGGCCCGTGTCACCGGGGGATGAGGGCGGACGTAACTGATCAGTCAGCTTCTACCTTGTCAGTCTGGGTCTGAATGACAATCAGCTTACCCGTCATCCCACATGATTGCAACAGTCATGTCTCTGGTGGGCTTGACCCTTTTCCAGGGCACTGGGGCTAGGGATGTCTCGATATCCCATGGCTCTTGGTCGATGACGGCCCGCTGAAAGAGATCCAGATCCTCCACGCTCTGGCTGGCAAGGGGGCCAATTACACCGCGGATGGACTCGTGGCCAGGCTCGGGTGCTTTGGCACCTGATATTGGGTTACGAAGCGCTGTTGGACGAAACCCATAAGAGCCACAGAATGCGGCAGGGGCTCGGATGGAGCCCCCGATGTCTGTTCCGACACCTAGAGGAGCGCATTTGAAGCCCGTCGAAGCACCTTCGCCACCTGAGGAGCCTCCAGAGCTAAGGGTGCGGTTGTAGGGGTTGAGCGTTGTTCCGGTAAGGTTATTGCTGCAGCAGAGGTGCTTCATATATTGATTAGCCGTTGTGGATCATGCATGGAAGGCAAGGAGTGGCTACCATGAGAGATTGCGGTTGGTTGGTTCGGACGTGGAAGATGGCGCCCGCCTTCTCCAGGCATTTCAAAAGGAGGGCGTCCTCTGTTGAGATATCATCCACCCTAGTGCTATCAGTCTCTCGCTTCCATTTTCGTCTTGGGATATAAGGGCCCATACCATGCCACATAGCCGGCGTTACATGTGAGACCTTTTATTCCAACATGCTCTTTGACGCTAATCGGGACACCATGCTGCGAAGTATTAACCTTTGTGCACAACACCGTTGGTCGGTCTCACCAAGGGCCCAATTAGCTTTCCGGTCCGTTGATAATACTCATCGAGTTCCTTGGCTCGCGCAATGGCTCGGTCCGCCAGGAATTCCGTGGCAAAGTTTAGCTTATAACAAGGAATTAGTCGAACTGAAACCTGGACAAGATACTTTGAAACAGCGATACCAATTGGTGACCCAGTACGGATCGTTTGAGGAACGCCACCACCACTTCCTCTGCCGTGAGCCTCCCCGCGCCCATTTCCTGGACTAGAGAAGTGGCAGACATGTCGGTGATGCTGAGCTCTTTCTCGGTGAGCAGGCCGCTTCGACGTGGGAAATCCTCCACATTCTTCGTATCGGCTGAGGGCAACTTGTGTGCGGGGAGAAGCCATTGCTTGGGGATGGAGTTATGAAGAGTGTCCTTGGCTTTCTGAGCCTGGAGCTCCCAGGTGAGTGACATGGTGCAAGGGCCCGCGAGCACTAGAGTCCAAAGCAATCAATGAAGGAAGTGTAGATAAGCGGTGTCTGAGGGGTAGGGGAGGCCCGGTTTAATACCTGCTGCAAGGAGCACAGCATCTCGGAAGCGGAATGCAGTCCAATCACAGGGAGCAGCAATGCTAAGTCGGCGAGTCGGCGTGGCTGATATGCAGCGATTGCTTCGGGTCCTGGGCGAGATAATGACATTTCGGGTGGAGATGCTCTTATCAGGGGTCCGCAAGCACCTGCCTATTCAGGGACCAGCGCGTTCTCGGCTGTTGGCGAGCACCGACGCATCGGCTATCAAGCGCTCTACTGGCCTGGAGATGCAGTATGAAACAGAGCACCGCCTAATTCGTTCACGCGGAAATCATTCCGCAGAGATGATCCGAGTAGCAGCTCTCGGGTCTTCACAATGGTGCTCGGACCAGCATCAAAAGAAAAGGGAATGTTTCATCTTAATGGACGGGGATGGAGCGGGGAAGCAAGAAAGAGGAGTCTGGATTGCCGTTCTACCATCTAATACTGGCGCGGGTCATCTGACCCCGCTCTCCCGTGACATCGGCCTTCTCTTCCTTTCTCATGCTTCCTCCTCGTTCTCAGTTTCTCTTCTATCCACAGCAGGTCAATTCCTCGCATAATGTGCCACACGCCACCTGACATTTCTCAGAGGCTTCCTTGGATTCACCAAATCCCTCTACCTCGGTGATCTGCATGTCCGCCGTGGTCGTCCCCGGCCGTGCCAGCTCCGGCTGAAGCGTGGTGGAATGAATGCCGTATGCGTGGAAACACTCATTGATCGTCTTGGTCAGCCTCAGGAAATTCGGTACCGAGTAGTCCGACACCATCACATGCACCGATGCGAGCGCCTTATGCTGGTTGAGTCGCCAGATGTGTAGCTCATGGATGGATAAAACTCCGGGGATCTGCGAGGAGTCAATGACAAGAACGTGCTAGATGACTTGAGCGTGCGCTACCTTTTCCAGATCATGCTTCACATCCTCAAGATCGACGCCACTGGGCGCGCTTTCTAGTAAAATGATCCCACACCGCCGTACTATGGCCGGGTCTTAGTATCCGTCAAGCAGGCAGCGAGGTAGAACATACCGAGCGGGACTGACGACAGCATAATCATCACAGCTATTCCCATGCTTGTGCCAGGGTCTGCATAGAATCGCCCTCCATAGTGAGTGAGCCAGATGACCAAGGCCGCAGCCATCACTCCAAGGTTGTTGGCCGCATCACCTATGACATGAAGCAAGACCCCCAACATCCCCAAGTCATGTCCATTCGAAGCTGTCCGAGATTCGTGCGAAAGGTGTTTATGGTCATCGTGCTGCACAAATGGGCGTTAGCCAACTGTATGTTGTACGATCTCTCCAGGAACCCACCCCAGGACTTTCCGGTCTTCCTGATTCGTTCGTATTATCGAGTACCGACATAGGAAGCTCCACTGGAGGCAGGGTCTCGTGGTTATGACTGTGTCCATGGTGGTGATGTTCTGTAAATCGTTATCGAAGGTGCTTCGCTACCGGATGCACCAATGATTACCGTGGAGAAACGTGGCGCTGACGAGATTGAGGACCAGCCCGATAGCTCCCATTATGAACATGAGCTTGGGGTTCTCCACGCCTGCTGTACATTAACCGGACGAAGCTCACACATGGACGGGCCACCAACGCTGAATCGCGACAAACCGCTCGATGGCCTGCAAGAAAATGCTGATCCCAAGCGCGAAGAGAAGGACTCCATTGAAAAAGGCACCCAGCAATTGTGCTCGCTGCCACCCGAAGGAGAGGGCTTTGGGCGAGTCATCTGTCTCGGACACCTAGAGCCTGATCTGAATAGTTGTTTCGTCTTGTTCGATGGGACGTGGGCTACCTTGAGAGCCACGAGGGCGACAATAAACCCGACGAGATCGTTCAACTGAACCCATCAGCACCCACAATTTGCAGCATCGACTATACATACGTAGTGGAATGCGTCTGCCACCAAAGCAAGGGAATGTGTATAGAAGCCAACTATTCCGTACCGCACGGTCGCGTCAGCCAGGCTTGCAATGAGAGGGAAGCTGCAGAGGGACCGCGAAGGGGGTTTCAACCGGAGATCTCGGCCACGAAAAAGACCGAAGAGATACCAACCACCACCATCAAGCGCTGAGCGCGTGAGATTCTGAACACCATGATCCCAGTCTGTCTCGGCTGAGAATGAGACCGAGCTCCAGCGACCTTTGCCGTAGAAGTACTCTGGCCCAGGCGGGAGAGAACTGGGTTGTTTACCCCTTGCATGGGGATCGGACTGGGCTGGAATGTGAAGCTCGCGCGGATGACAATCGCTGGTGAATGGGGAATTACAAGGCCAGCCGGTTACTCTGCGGTACCTACCCGGCCAGCCAAGGTCTCGATGGTTCGACTCTTCAGGGGCCGACATGCATTCACTATGACCTCTGTCCTACATCACATGCAGCTGACGTACGGAGTACACCGGCATTTTAATCCAAACCACCGCTCGTTCCTATCCAGGTTCCTCTTGGGCAACGCTTACAGAGATCCATTGGAACAGTACAGACCATAAATAAATGCTTTCATTATCTCATTATCAGATGGGTTGCTAACATCTAGGCAGCGATCTCATCCACCAAGCCCTCCAGTTCCCGCTGCCAGTTTCGGTGCCGTGAGATTTGCCAAACGAACTGGTCAAGGAATCCCTTGCTGGTCTGGTCAATCTTGGAGGATACGCGCAGCAGGTCCGCGGGGCTGCCATGAGCGGTCACCACGCCGTAACTCTCCGTCACCTGGCCACTCGACGCATACTTGATCGCATCGAGGTTGATTTGTTTCCGGATAAAGTCCACGGCTTCGTTGGCACCCGCAATGGGCTTCAGATGAGCAAAGGATTCGGTGATCCAGAACTTGGCAATGCCGTTCTTCGCCAACACGGAAATGTGCTTTCCTCCAGGGACGAATACCGCATCGAATAGAGTAGACCGCATGCCTGGGAAATGGTGATCCGGGATCACTTTCTCACCCGACTCCGAGGTGACCCCTTGACGTTGCGAGCCAATGGTGAAGACAAATGCATTCTGCTTTTGCAAAGCGCTCTTCATGCCCTGGTACGAGTCGAGGTCGAAACCGTCCGCGATGAGAATGGCAACTCGACGGGTGGCAATCTGGGCGCTGTCGGAAAGATACTCGAGTTGGCTGAGGCCCTTGGACGTTTTGCCATCGTTGTCCTTCGGTGCCTTGCTTGGGGTGTCGCCTCCCACGTTTTTCGCGACGGTCTTAGCCAGCTCGAGATCCACGACAGCCAGACGTTCTGAGAGGCGCTTGTACACGACCTCCTCGTCACAATGGTCCAGCTCGAACGAGAATGCTTTGGAAACGTGGAGCTTCTCGATAGGGCTGAGGGAGTTGTAGAACAGCTGGGCCTGGTTGAAATGTTCCTTGAACTTGTCGGACAGGGCGCGAGCTTTCACGCCCTGCTGCTTCTCAGGGTAGGTCGCGAACCCACCCTTTTCCGGTGAGGTCGGGGGGTTAGCATCGTACCTGTTGGGCCAATAGTTCACTTTGCCCTTTGTGATGCGGTGTTTCATCGCCCCATCCCGGTTGACTAGACTCATGTATGGGCACACAGGACGGTTGATTGGCAATTCTTGCCAGTTGGGGCCGAGACGGGAGATTTGGGTATCGAAGTAGGAGAAATTGCGGCCGACGAGGAGGGGATCATCCGAGAAATCGATCCCGGGTACGATATGGCTCGTGCAAAAAGCGACCTGCTCGGTCTGGGGGAAGTATTCGTCCACGTTGCGGTTGAGCTCTAGCTGTCCAATGTACTCGATGGGCACCAGTTCCTCGGGCCAGATCTTAGTAGCATCTTGGATGTCAAACTCAAAATCATTCTTCTTCTCTTCTGGGATCACCTGGATACCAAACTTCCACCGGGGGTATTGGCCTGCCTCAATGGCATCCATCAGGTCCTTGCGGTGGAAGTCTGGATCCTGGCCTGCAATCTTGAGCGCTTCGTCCCAAACCAGGGAATGGACACCAAGCTCGGGGGTGAAGTGAAACTTGACAAAATGGCGCTGTCCTTGAGCGTTGACAAGACAATATGTATTAACGCCAAAGCCCTGCATCATCCGGTACGAGCGAGGAATAGCGCGATCACTCATGATCTAACCCAGTCAGCCAAGCACCTAAACCCCCAGCCCAGATCAACACTCACCCACTGCTGCATATGAGTCGTCTCCGAATGCAGATACTGAAAATCCCAGAAATTATTATGAGCACTCTGTCCCTGCGGAATCTCATTATGAGGCTCCGGCTTGACCGAATGAATCACATCCGGAAACTTGATCGCATCCTGAATAAAAAACACCGGAATATTATTCCCCACGATATCCCAATTCCCTTCCGAAGTATACATCTTCACCGCGAACCCACGAACATCCCGAACGGTATCCGCACTCCCGCGACTCCCTTGGACGGTAGAGAATCGCACAAAGACCGGCGTTTCACGAGCCGTGTCAGTCAGAACACCAGCCGAGGACAGCTCAGGGATCGCTTTATGCAGCTTGAAGGTTCCGAATGCTCCCGCGCCACGGGCATGCACGACTCGTTCAGGGATACGTTCGTGGTCGAAGCGCATAATCTGACCTCGTTAGCTCACCCGCTGAAGAATCATCCAAAGAAAGGAAAAGACAACCATACCTTCTCCCTCGCAATCGGATCCTCAAGCAACGACGGCCCATTATGCTGCCCATCCACCACCCGAAGCCAATGATCCGGATCCGCGATCTTGATCCCGTAATCTGTAGTCATGGGTTGCACGCCCGAGACCTCGACGGTATCTCGAGCCAGATCCGCTTGTTTAGCAGCCATAATGAGATCTCAGAAAAATGAAAATATATGATATTATCCAGATTACACTGGCACAACAACAACAATAAAACACCACACTGCAGACCTTCCACCCAGCATATATACCCACCCCAACCCCCCCCGAACCCCCGATTTCTAAGCGCCCACGAGTAGTTAACAGTCTGAACCCTGAACAATGATGCAACTCGATGAGTAGTAGTACCCACTCAGGTACTGTTACTATGTACTACCGGAGTCGAAAGAGAGTCCATGATGTCAGACCCTTACACCAGTAGGATTGTAGGGTACGGTTCTGACCAATGACGGCCCCGGGAATCAAGGTGACATGATCGTCATGGAGCCTGGTTGTGGGTCGCGTCCCTGACATGGTTGATTCTTGTTGCTGGATGGCGGGATGGATGATTAATGTGTATGGATTGGCGGTGGTGGTGGTGGATGGGGGATGCTTCGGGGAGAGCTCGGAGGTGACGTCATGGGGTTAGTCTGTTTACTTTGGGGAGATGTCTGGTTACTTTGGTGGTAGATTGAATGTGATGAATGATTGATAGGAAGATAATAGGATATATGCGAGTATATGCTATCTGTCTGTCTGTCTGCTCTATGAAATGTATGTGTATGTATGTATAGACGGGTGTATATATGCAACGAAAAGCCCAATGTACGCAACCTCGACCACGGCCAAAATAACCAACCAACCATCCCCACCTCTTTTGTCCCCACAGTACCTCAACTCATTTCTAATCCAATCTTTACATGTTATCTTCACTCCACCGACTTCTCGCCTTCAAGTATGCATCATGTTCACTCTTCCCTTCTTCCACGTCCATGCCTACTCCCAGACCACGCTCAACCCACATCTTACTTCCCATCTCTGAGAGACGGGACAGCGCGCGCGCAAACGCAAAGCGCTCCTCGTCACCGCTGAAGATGGAGGTGGTTTTGAGTGCTTGCATCGACAGGCCGAGGTCGTCCATCATCATGCGCATCGCGTCGGAGAGGTCGCTGCCGTCGTCGGAAAGGGTGGATTTGACGTCTTCCGGCGAGAGGAAGAGGTTGGTTAGGGGGACGGCGGTGGTGAGGACGAGTTTGGCCTGCATTTACGGATGAAAGGGTTAGTGGAGGTTCTTTAGGTGCGCTAAGAGGTAAAGAAAGGGGATCGTACCCTGCTCTCATAAACGGCATCAATGAAGGTGATGAATCGTCGCGCCAGATCTCGTTGGTTCAGGTTCATTCCCGGCACATCGGTGACAATGAATGCCTCGTAGTTCCGGACCAGCTCCAGATAGTCGGCGGCTCCGGTAGCGCTTCCAATCAGCTGCTGGAAGGTGAATTGCGCAGCCTTGCCGCTGGCGAGCGGGACCTGGATCTTGCGACCCCAGACTTCCTGCGTCGCTGGGTGTGGAGGGTCGTTGACCGGGTCTCCGAGGAATTCGAACCATTTCTGGGCGTGGCGGTCGGCGTCAGGGCCGAGCGGGGTGTGGTAGACGGCTGCTGGGGGCCGGGGGATCTTGCGATAGTCGGTGGGAGAGTTGAGGTTGATCACGTCGAGGGCGGTCTTGAGAAGGTTGATGCAGGGGATGAAGGATTCGCGCTGGATGCCGTTCTTGTAGAGGTCATCGGGATGACGGTTGGAGGTGGTAACGAGGAGCACGCCGTGGGACATGAGAGACTCGAGAAGTCTGTCAGAGATTAGGTTAGAGAATGCCGGGGGTGAGGAGAGGAGAGTCATATACCTCCGGAGGATCATTGCGTCCGCAACATCCGTACATTGGAACTCATCGAAACACAGCACACTTGATTTCTCGGCGATAGCAGCCGCCACAAGAGGCAGCGCATCAAAATCGTTGCCGTACTTCATCTTGACAACGTGCATGCGCTTGTGCACATCCTGCATGAAGTTGTGGAAGTGGATGCGCGTCTTGGTGGGGATGTTGGGCGGGAGGGTCTCGTAGAACAGATCCATGAGCATGGTCTTGCCGCATCCGACATCGCCGTACATGTATAGTCCCTGCGGGAGGCTCTCGGGGATCGCGAGTTCCTGCTTCGCGTTGCTGCGCCCAAACAGCGAGCCGAAGAACGACTTGGGCTTTGCGTCAAGCGATTCCACGCTGGGCTGGACGACCGGCGGGGGGTTGTATAATTTCAATCTCTCGTACAGGTCCTGCAATTTCTCGATGATCTCTTCTCAAACCAAATTCACGCCGTCAGCATCTATGAGTATAGGCCATTGACTCCCTCCTGTAGTGGAAGACTTCTCGCCATGAAATGACAGGGGCAACGTACGTCTCTGATAGGGATCATCGCGCAACCGACCCTGCTGGACTCGAAGATCATATTCCACCAACGGACCGCCCTGCAGCCCAGTTGCAACTTCTTCCTCCACAGTCTTCCCCTCAACGGCTGTCGCAAAGCGGCGCGCATACTGGTCCTGCGAAGATCTCACATTTGCATGGTCGCAGACCCGGACACCGTGTGCCGCCACCGACAGACGATAGCGAGGGTTGGTCGCGCCATGAATGCCCCGTCTATACTCCCTGACGCCTGCCTGGCGAGTGCCCCGAGGAACCGCACGCAATAAAGGGCCCCGAGCCCTCAGTGCACCGGGCAAGTAGTCCGCGCACAGTTTTGCAGAAGATCCGCTCATGGGAGTTGGCTTGGACAGAAGCTGTCTGGATGCGATTGTTGTGGAAATGTGTGCGAATGTGCGTTGCGACGGTCGTAAAGACTTAAACCCGAGGTTGTTCGGTCAGCGGCAAACACTCGGCGGAGGAGATCAAGTGCGGCGGCACTCGGCGAAGAGTCGGGAGCTAGATGAAGACTCCGGGCAGGGCAACAGGCCCACACACAAGGAAGAATATACTGACCGTCTGAATGATCGAATGCAAGCGTCTAGATGCAAATTCAGGCCCTGGTGAGTCCGGACGTGTCCTGCAAGCGCTGAACTCCGCGGCAAAAAGGAAACGAGCACATGGCGGCGTTCCGATGGTCGTCATGTGACTCGGAAGCCGGCAACTTTTCGGCCTCCAGATCTATGGCCGACAACGCCCATTGGCCGAGTGCGCCGGACCAAGTACTAGTAATTGGCCATCACATAAATGGCCAGTACTATCCTCTACTACGGTAGTACTACTCTAGGTAGGCAACGCACGCATCGAAAGGCAGTGGTAAACAGTAGGTTTCGAAGCCTACAGCCAGAGAATATATATGCAGGAGAAGACTTATGTACATAGGACAACAGTGCATCACACAAAAGGGTATGGAGGGAAAACAAAGCCATGGCCCACGCGACAGAGAATGCAGAACCAGAACAAAAAAAAAAAAAAAAAAAGGTACATGATGGCGTAAACGTTTCAGGCATGTCATTCTTGTCAACGCATCAACCTCGTGATTCAATAACAACCGCTCAGAGGCTGATGACCAGACAACAGAAAAAGGAACCATAACACCAGTACACCCGAGCACCTCGACAGACGCGGGCGCACGATTTGAACAAGACAAATGGAAAAGATAAAATGACAGACAGATCTATCGGGATATAGACGGGTAAAAATCACGCTTCTATGCAAGTCCAACATATAGGGTGAGTTTGGAGTTTCGCTGGATCGCCGTGTCCAGGTCACTGTCGGTGGCCAGGTCGACGTACGTCCCGGACGGTTCGTCCTTGTACTGAACCACAATATCGTCCTGGATCTTCAGGCGGTCCGTGAGCTTCTCGCGGAGCTGCTGGAGGCTGATGTCGCTGGGGACTCGGATAGCAATGAGGTCGTCCTGGAAGAAGACCTTGACTTTCATGGCGCCGCTGCTCGATGTTGTCGACACCTGCGTTATCGAGCTGGGTTGACGGTTCATCGGGGGTGGTCCGCCATTCGAAAGGGAGAGGGAGGGCTGTCCGCGCTGGTGGGAGTTGCGCTCCGCGTGGACGGCGATGGGCGCCTGCGATGACTGGCGAGAGACGCTCCGAGAGGGCTCATGTGTGGAAGAGTGGTGCGAGCCACCGGAGAACCGCGCATCTTCACCGAACGCATTCGGGTCGATCTCAAAGTCACCGGCCCGTGGTGCAAATAGCTGACGGACCAATTGGCAGCGGGAGATATGGGGAGGCATGGCCAGGAGCTTCTTGATGTATTCATCGAGGTTCTGTCGGCGGCCGTTCGAGATAGCGTCCGTGACATGGGTGACAGGCCCCGGCATATACGGTAGGGTGCGCGCCTTGCCCCGGTTACCCGCTTCCTCCTCGAACTGAGTCAACAGCGCAATCTGGAAATCATAGAAGTCATGGTAGTAGCGCGACAATTCCCAACAGCGACCGTCCTCCATTTTCGCCTCGATGATGTACCAGTATTTGTCATTGTCAAAGCAGTACCGGGGGATCGATGCGGCAATGGGCGCCATCAAAGGCTGCTGGTAGCTTTGCTGCGACTGATGGGAAACTTGCTGCACAAGAGATCCCTTACTGGCATTGCGAGTGTGGTAGCCCTGTCGCATGTTCGGTTAGTCCCGGAGTGTTTCACGGATGCGGAGGAAAGCACGGGCAACTTACCTGGGATTGGCCATTTTGGCTCATTTGGCTCTGGCGGCCGATGGACATCTTGTCCATGCTCGAGGTGACAGACTGCATCGATGAGCCACCGGCGGAGTCGATCTTGCCCAGGGTGATACTGCTGTTCTTGTACTCGGCCGTCATCTTCTTCCATTCCTCCACCTTCGGCACGCCGGCGCGCCTCACAGCCTCGAGTGGATCAGTGACCGCTTGGCCCGTCTGCATATCGCGAAGTTCGAGGAAAGAGACCGGGATGAGACCTGGCCCGCCCAAGCGACCGATGGGTTTGGCGACAAACCATTCCTGGTTCGACTGGGCAATAACAATAATCGCTTCGCCGGCTTTGGCATCGAGTTCGTCCGGTCGCTCGGCTTGGAAGTCATACTGGACGATGCCATAGACCATGGGACTGGATCCACTCTTCCCCAACGCCGACATCCTGGGCTGATAGCTGTTTCGGGAGAAGTTGCTGGCGAAATCTGAACCTGGGAAGGCAGCTCGATCGGAGAAGCCCGAGTCGTGTGGCTCTTTCTTTTTATGAAGGTCCACCGATCCAGCGCTGTCTCGCTCGTTTTTGCCAATCACTTCAAAGAAGGATACTGGAACCAACCCCCTAGCACTAGGGATGAGCGGATTGCACGCTTCGTACCAGTCCAAATCGTCCTCCCTGCTGATAACGTGAAAGAAGTCTCCCTTGCTGAAGGCGAGTTCCTGCGAGTTCCCGGGCTCCGGTTGGTAATCGTAGAGCGCTTTGATAACCTACGCGCAGGACAGGGATAGGGTCAACAGCTGTTTGCCAAGGAGGGCAGCCCGACCAACGCCGGTGAACGAGGGCGAGTGGCACGCAGGAGATCAATTACAACCAACGGCAAAATTATTGGGACGCGAATGTACACAAGGAGGGGTAAGACAGGGGGGAGAACAGCCGAGGATCCCAAACGAACTCAACAGAGGGAACGGGGAATTGGTAAGGGAAACAAACCCAAAAGGAAGACCAGAAAGTGAGGGGAGAATGAAGGAAAAGAAAAGAAAAGAGGGTACACACCTTCTTAGGCGGAAGAATGGCAATGGCGGACTTGGGAGTAATAGAAAGGTGGTGGTGGTTGTGGTGGTGGTGGTGGGGTTTGGGATCTTTCTCCCCTTTGAGAGAGCGTCGAATGGCCTAATTAATTGGTGGTGTTGGAGATTAGCCCAGGGCCGATAGATTGCGCGCGGCAATAAGACGACGGGCGGGAAACAGTCATCAAGGGCTAATTTTTCGGGGACGGTTGTCGGAACAAGACAAGCGACGATAATCGAGATAAACGAGGGGCGGGAAACGAGGGGCGTTCGGGGCAGTTTCAGCAGCTTGGACGTACCTTCATTATTAGTCTCGTCTGGGATCAATCAATCAATCAATCACCCAGCCAGGCCGCGCCCACAGGTGGTCGGGAACGCCAGATCAGCCGCCCGAGGCAAGGCAAGACGTAAGTACGGGGAATAGCCTGCAGCAAGACAAGACCGATCATCCACTTTCTGTCCGTATCAGCCACCCGGTCCAGGCGTCGGTTGGTAACACCGCGAGGTCGATTTGGAGAAGAACGGCGACGGGTGGGAGCACTGAAATCACTGGGATCAGGATCACTGGGATGCGATGGGATGATACAAAGAAAAAAGAATGGGCGGCAATTCCGGATGGCAGCTGAGAGACAAAATGAGGCAAAAAGGGAAGGTAAAAAAAAAAAAAATTCCAAGACCCAAACTTTAATTTGAACAATGAAGGAGCGGTTTGAGTTGTACAGTAGAAAAGGACAGTGACAGACAAATATAGCCTGGGGTGAGAGAGAGAGAGAGACGGAGAGAGTGATGGTCAATGGATGAAATCGAGCGGACGGCTGTCAGCGACGATATGTTATAACTAGAAAAATTTAAGTAGAGTACTCCGTAAGCGCTGCAGGAACACGGCGTGATAATGCAATGATAGCCTCCTATTTTTGTCTGTCCTGCTCCCTCGATTCCTCCCTTGACGAACGGGTTCCGTATGGGGAGTTCTGGATTGCGACGACTGGGACAGAAGGTGGCCCGCTTTCCTTTTGGTGTCCCCCCCGCCCCTGAGGATGGATGGATGGGTAGCAATGAAATGGGATCGCTGGAGCGGTTCAAGTGGGTGGACAATGACGAGGATCCACGCGTGACAGCTGGGCGGAAGGTTTCCAGGGTTGCGTTGTTCTGGAAGGCCCCCCAGCCAGAAGATATTCTTTCTTTTGAGTTTTCCTTGCAACAAACCCGTAGTTAGGAAAGTGGGTGAGGTGGGTGGTGGTGGTGGTGAGAAGTAGTAGTAATCCGTCGAGTCGAGGCAAGGCGATAGGAGAATTATGGGCCGTCCTACCACCACTTTGCGGATTGCGGGAGCACTTGGTGGCTGTGACCCAGACGAAGGAGAAGCCGGTTAGCGATTAGTGGCCGGATGGCATGGACCGTCGTGGGGGGTGTGATTTGTGAAGGATGATGGACGCCGTCCAGACTCGAACTGCTGGTTCAACTGTGGCGGGGACTCCAGCGCCTTCGTCCCGGTTGGTGGGTTCCGGGCCTGTGATGGGGATGAACGAGGTTAGTGCCTTGCTGGAAGGAGGGATTTCGACAGAATATAACCAGCACGACTGGGATTAAAGGAGGTGGTGGTGGAAAGTAAAATCAAACCAGAGCGCGATGCTACATCGGCCGGTGGTAGGTACATACTTACCCACAAAGGAAGGCAATGTCCGATTCGCAGTAGATCGTGATAGACGTTGGACTGGCTGGCTGGCTTAGTTCTGGGAGACGCAGCCGATCGCTTGGTCTTTCGTCGGATCTTGTCCTTTTCACTATTTTGTTTTCTTTTTCTTTTTCACTGTATTAATCTAGACTAACAGAGCAAATGACGATGGTTTCAAACTAGATGGTGATAGGGAGTTTGTGATGGTGATGGTGATGGTGATGCCAAGAATGGTGGCAGTTGACTGAGAAGATGAGCTGAAGAGGGCAATGGATATTAGATATAACCAACGCAGTACTCTTCAGATCCATCAATTCCCAACATCCAACCCAAATGAAACTGAAATCTCTCGAGCACACCCAAGATTGAGATGACTTTCCCCCTCCATCACCTTCAGCCGTGCCCGTCGTTGTGTGCCTAAAAATCCTTTATTTTGTCCTGTCACCAGTCACCATCAGGCCGGGAGCTGCTCCCCGGCCGTCTGCATGGATGCACCGCGTAAGGTATGACGGCCATGTCCACCCTGGTTGGACGCTAAGGGACTAAGTACTTAGCTGAGACTCCTTAGTCTGCTCCTGCATCCAGCCCTGTTAGTAGTGTTATCCCTGACTCTTTTCCTTTTTTTTTCTTCTTTTCCTGGGTTAGAA